CCTTTATCTAAAATTAGATAAATCTTTATAAATCTTGTAAAGCGGTGGCCAACAGAAAAGGAGATAAAAATAAGAAATGAGCAGCGAAAACAGACCGATATATCGAACAGCAATCGTCCCATTATATATCATATACAATAGCAGCAGTGGAGTTCTTTTTACGGATATTGTATCGATCTTCTGAACAATATCGGATCATTGGTGGATTTTGATTACATCATCAGAGAATCGTACGACAAAAATTACGACAATTTAGACCCTAATATCGGATTTTGGAACGGTATGATCTACGAATTAATGAACAATATGTCGGACATCGCGATGGGGATGATATGGATGATATCTAGCAGAGGGTATCTATCAATTATATCGTAAAAAGAATATAAAATTTTCTTTTTTATATCCGTTCCATTTTATGACCTCTTTGAATAAAAACACGACGATCGAACTATCAATGGATATAAGAAAAACAGTATATATTTTATGTTTTATGTGTCTATATTTTATTGAACTGGTGGAAAAATTATGTCAATTTTTGATCCTGATAAGATAAAATATTTTGAAAAGCTGATACTCACGTTTGTACTTATAAAATAATATAAATTAATTTTAATAAAAGTATTTAGGATTTTTCTATAATATATTTGAGATAAAATATTAAATATTAAATATTAATGATTTAAAAAAGTGGATTGTTTCATTGATTTATTCCCTTCTTAGATTCGAATCAATATTTGCGTTTTATTATTATTGTTATGATAATTAAGTTTGTTAATTTTGCGATACGTTGATTTTAATATCTAAACAACGTAGAATTAGAATTCTCGTATTTTATGTGTTTTGGGGATTTTTAAGCCTTCGTGTTCTTTTACTACGTCATTAGCATAGTATGTCTATGGAAGGGGGAAAGAAGTTTCTTCCTGCGTGCGAGTGAAGCGGAGGTCACCACAGAAATTTCCGGAACATTCTGCGGTTTGATATTCCTTTTTTTTTTTTACGAGCAGTTACATAGTTAGTTCATACAAGTTGGGATATTCCGAGTTCATGGTAGGACCATTGTTATTGCGATATAATTTTAAAGAAATTGAAAATTGAATTAAAGATCACGTATCGTTTAAACATTAGCATTCAGAGAGAAAAAAATATTATATTCCATCTCTTAAAAATAACTTTTCTCTGAAAATCATAAAATAAATCAGAATGCATAGATCTTATTTAAATGAGATGATAACAATTATTGTGAAAGATCATTGTAATTTTTGTTTTGTTTAAATTTTAATGATTATTAAAAATTTTATCGACATAGATTAAAAGTTTGATTTGATCTATATTTCTATCTTTTTTCTTTTTTCTTTTTTTTTAATCATTCATAAATTTAAAAAATACGAATACAATTCTTTTAAAAGAACATTTTTTACATTCGAAATAATTATTATAAACGAGTGTGTCAGTAATTGTGTTTGTCAAATTTAATAATTTAATTTAATCAAATTTCGAGATAGAAAAATATATCACTTAAAGGTGAATGATAAATATTTATTAATATACATAAATTATCTGCAAAAAAAATACTTACCAGTAATTTTATATAAAATTCGAAACTATACTATAGCAAAGCATAATTGAGAATCGATTTTAAGAGATTAAAAACTACAAAAATAGTGAGTTGAGGCTTATTTATGAAATCATATACAATTTAAATTAAATTCACTTTTAAGTTCACTTTAACTTCATTTAACAGAAATTTAAATTGCTTATAATATAACGAATAAGCCTCGACTTCATTTCTGGCCAATTTTTATATTTATGTCTTTCAGAATTGGCCCTCTCATGAATATATAATTAACATCCTATACATATACATGGATACATTATAATAAATTGATTTATTTTTGCGCTCAAAAAACTCGCCAACTCGATACCCCTTATTTTAATACGAAAACTAATTAAATTCGAATCGCATTATATCATTATAGTCGCGGAAATCAATGATTAAACCCTCCCTCGATCATCGATCGAATCGGTTCGAAAAAGGTTAATAGAATAATGGGGGGAAAATAATATTCAGGTGATGGAGTTGCCGAAGAAGCAAGAATCGACCGGTTTCACGATAATGATGCTAAAGAAAAAGGAGAAGATCTCGTGTCTCAAGTTGCTAACGATCCTGGATATCGATCTGGATAATGTTCGCGCACATTTTCCTCTGGACGATATTTCCATTATATATTCTCGAGAGGTACTCGCCCTTTAGCTAGCGGAACAATCGGGCAAAGTATCGGAACGATCAATTCAGCTCGTTGAAGGATTTCATCTGGTTCACATTCACCTCCATGTTCCAAGGAAAAGGGGGATATCCCGAAACATTTGTCGGGCAAATTGGTGATAGCATCCTGTTGGATGTTCGGTTTCGTAATCGTCACTGCTCACACGGCCAATCTGGCGGCCGATAGATAGGTTAAAAAGAAACATCGAATCCTTCTGAAGAAAGCAGAACAAAGTTCAATATTTCATCATGGCTAATTCCTCCACGTTCAAATACTTTTTCACGTATGAAAGAAATCGGAGGATTCGTTTTATCGGTAAGTTTTTAACGTTCGTTTTTAAGAAATGTATCTATAACATGAAGTTATATTAGAACTCATAGAGAAAAGATATTCTTTTTTAAATATTATTTGTTTAATTTATAAGCTTCCAAATATATCTATATACTTTTTTGAGTTATGCTGATTTTAAAATATTGCATCATCCGTGAATATAAAATAAAACATGATTATCTTAAGAAGAATATTGATTAATATAATCCATAAGAGAAAGTTTTAAATATTAAAAATTACAAAAACTACAAAAATGTGAGTTGAGGCTTGTTTATGAAATTATATACAATTTAAATTAAATGTATTAGGTTGACTTTAATTTCATTTAATAGAAATTTACTATTTCTTAACTCTTTTTAATCACGTAGTTTCCTAATTGTCCTTTGAAAAATGTTATTTTTTTTATATTTTCGCATTCGATTTGCATTAATTTATAAAATTAAATAATATCTAATATAATTATAACAATATAATATTCTTATGATTTTTACAATTATAATATATAATACATAATCCTGTTCTGTTATTTATCTCTTATGCACAATATTTTACACGTATCAATAGGATATTTAAAATTTAAATGTGTAAAATTCTTTACGTAGAAAAAAAGAGAAATAATTCTCGATTTTTCTACGAATCCTAGAAACCCTCCCTTAGAAAATCTACGAGCAATCTACGAGTCGATTCTTTTACAGAAATAAAACTGAAGGAAAATTGTAAAGATAAGTGAAAAATTGTTCGCCAAGAAGTGGAAACGAATGGCGTTAAATGAGGATACAGCGGAATGGAAGAGATCCGATTACGTCGTGTGAGATTATCCGTTGGAGGACAAATTTCGCGATGATGGATGTATGAATTTCTTCCAAAGAGAGAGAACAAGCGGAAAGTGAATCGCACTTACGAGTTCGCTTTTATCGCGGAAGCTACGATCATAAAATATCTGACGGATTGCGATTTCGAACAGTTTGGGGAGAAATTTCGCCAAGAAATCGTTCGCTTTTGCGGTTCCAACAAGCGGTTCTCCATTGAAGAGGAAGCTCGACGATGCGTAAGTTCGATTCCATCCAATATAATTTTACTGCAATCGAATGATCTGGTAATCGTAAATTTTCATTTTACAGTTCTAAGAATAGAAATATATGTACAGGCGAAGCTTCGTAACTTGAATCTCATCAGAATGCTGGAACGAAGAGTGGAGAGAAAATTTAAGGGATGATTCTAGAGATTAAAATAAATAGCAAAATGTAGCGTTGAAGTTTATTTTTCAGGTTATAAGCAATTTAATTTTTCATCAGTTGAAGGGAAATGGAGAGAAAGCGTGGCGGAGATAATGCCACTTCACTCTCACCACTGTCTCATTTCATCTAGATGTTTTAAATTGCTTATAACTTGCAAAAATAAACTTTAAACGGATATTTTTTTCTTCTTTTTATAGAACTTTTGTATTTTCTTTGATCTTTAAAATTATTTTTCAAAATTTTTTCGATCCGAATATCTTATGTTATTGTTATACAGGATAATAGGTAATCAAACTTTGGTGGTATTCTATTGTTAAGAATGAAAATATAATATAAATATTTCTTTTTATGATGCAAATATTTTCAATTATGAATTTTTATAGGAATTTAAAATTTAAAGAACTTAAACTTGTTTAATGAAATTGCTAAAAATATAGTTTTCTTCTACAATATATGGAAGATTCGTTTCGAGCCTCCCCATATAATGAAAATGTTTATTATTCAATTGTACAATTAAAAAGAAGAATATTAGAAATTATTATTTGAAGTAAATCTGACAAAAATTAATCGAGTTTTGTTAATTCTAATCAATCTTCAAAAATTTGTAACACCTCGAATCTTTTGAAGAGTGAATTCATCATTATAAAAAATATTTACTTAATCTTTCTTCTTTTGAGCGTTTATAATTGAAAAGATATCAATCCTTGTACAAAATCTTTGTCAAATTTTTTATTTAATTATTTTATTAAATCTCTTTTGCTCAAAAACTTCGATGAAATCAAATTTCCAAGATTCTTATTTCTTCTATCGAGATTCAAGTTACCAAAATTCGATTATAATCTTAAATAAGAATTGGAATGGTTGTCATTAATTTGATCAATGTTTAATTAAAAGATTATTTGGTTGACAATTGAAGGGAGATTAAGTGTTCTGAAGAAAAAATGGTGGGAAGAAAATCCTTTGAAAGCAAATTGTTCCTCTCCCTCCTTGATTTTAAAGAAGATTTTAAGAAAGATTTTAACGCAGGCTTCGATTTCGACAATTTGACTGGTGTATTCCTGATAATCTTCATGGTATATATTTGGTATATATTTCTCTTTGCACCGATACTTGTTCTTCAATATTGCTGATACTGCTATCGATTGAATCGAAGAATAAAAAAAGTACTTTTCATGAAAACAGGATTGAGTTTTCGTAAAATTAAATAAGAATACGAATAAAACATTTAAAAGAAGAAAAAAAAAGGAAGATATTCCTGTTTCGATAACGAGATGTATTTTCAGACTTTTCATTTTTTGCATACATATGCGAATATAAACAAGTATTTTTAAAACAATGTAAATACACGGAAAATACAAAGGGAAAATGTAAATGTTAATTAAAATAAAATCATTCTTTTCTTTTTTTTTTTTTTTGATTTCCAATTCGCTCATCGATTTCACGTATCTCGTTGTAACAGGAATAAGGAATAAATTCCATGATTCTCCATTAATTAATACGCTGACTATTTCTTCTTATCAATCGAAATATTAATCGAATAAAATAATTAAAAAGAAGATGTGTACATAAAAACTAAAAAAAGAAAAACTAAAATTCGAAAGTCAAAACTGTTTTCAGAAATGATTTTCAGAAAAGAAGAAAAAAATCGTTTCCATATAAAGATATCCATTCCGTATCCGTGATCACGATTGCAAGTCACGAAGATATCGATATCGCGTTAAAATAAAACTTACAACAGTCACGTGTACATGTGACAAAGGAAAGCTAACGATCGGCCGGTCAATTATGAGATAACACGAGTTTATGACACGCGATGCGCGACATGCAAATTCTTCCCGATGGCTCGCCAGTTGTACGCCATGTCGATTACTTTCCTCCGTTGTGAGAGATGATCGAGAATTTTGACGAAAAAAGAAAAAAAAGTAACGAAATAGGGAAAAAGAAAAAAAAGGAAAAAAGAGACAAACTGCGTTGATACGAGGAATTGATTAGGTCATCCCCGCGGCAACCAATGGACAAACACAAATGAAACAGAGAGAAAGCTGGCTTTCGGTTTCGAGACCGCCCTCAGTCGCTTGACTAATTTCCGCACGCGATATCCTGACCTCGAGACGCATCGAGTACACGATCGAAACCTAGCTAGAGCACCGACTAATTACTTATCGTGAGAAGATTAGCTGCTAATTTCGACGTTTCTCTCTTTCTTCCTATCGATTAAGAAAAATCGTTTCGTGGAAGGAGCGTTGGTGGAGAAGCTGAAGTGAGGGAGAAAAAAAGGAGGAATACGAATTATGTTATAGAATCGAAGTGAAAAATCGTTCGAAATGAGATTCGTGGAACTTACAATTGCGACGTGTTGGTTCCTTGGATTATGCGGGAAATCTGCAATTTACGGGCAAAGGACTGTCGCGAGCAATCGTGAACCGGCGAAAACTAGACCTGTTAATATATGTAAGTGAGTAAATGTCGTTTGATTTTTAATCTCTCTGCTTTTACATCAAATTTTTTGAAGAAGTGGAAACAATGGAATATAATAAATAGAATGTCGATTATGAGAATTCATCAAGAGACAAATTCATTCAAATTAATGAATAGACAATAAAAATTAAATAATTTAGGAAAGAAATGTTTTTATTTATTAAAAACAAATATGAATGTTGATTATATAAAAAACTATATCTAATAAATTCTTCTCAATGATATGATTATGAATTACTAGATAATTAATAAATGAAATCTTTCTATTAACTCAGAGATGAAATGAAACAATTTTTAGATACCTTTAACGCATGGCTAAATTCGGATCATCATTTGAAGAAAAAGAAATTCGAATAATCGGTTAACTGTTCTAATCTTCCTTTTCATTATTTTCCTTCCCAGTCATTATCAACGACGAGACGAATAAAGTAGCTAACCTGAGCATAATAACCGCCTTGGAAACAATCAAAGAAAATTACCCTAATCAGCTGGGCAATGTGTGGAGCGTGCAGGTGAACGAATCTGACATAAACAACACCCTCGATCGCGTCTGCAATAATTGGGATTCCGCCGTGGAAAAAGGAGGCGCCAAAGTGCCAGATTTGGTGATAGACACAACGACAGCTGGCTTAGGCGCCAAGATATCTAACTCGTTCACAGCTGCCTTAGGAATTCCCACATTGTCCGCGCAATACGGCCAAGTAGGGGATCTTCAATACTGGAGGAAACTGAACACAGATCAGCAAAATTACCTGATTCAAGTGATGCCTCCGACAGATTTGATACCGGAGGTAATCAGACAATTGTCCATCCAACTGAACATCACCAACGCTGCCATTCTTTACGATTACAATTTCGTGATGGATCATAAATATAAAAGCCTGTTGTTAAACGTACCGACCCGGCACGTGATCAACGAAACATCCCAACAAATAATAGAAATGAAAAGACAATTGCTTCGTTTACGGGACTTGGATATAGTTAATTACTTTATTCTGGGCAACGAGAATACGATTAACATAGCTCTCGAAGCTGCGGACGCATTGAATTTCACCGATAAGAAGTACGGTTGGTTCTTATTAACGCCCGATATTAACATTTGGCCGAGATGCGAATGCAGAGATATAAGCGTCCTCTTTATGAAGCCAGAATTCGATGGGAAAAACAACTCGGCCGTGGAACTTTCGTTGCCGAAACCGATTTTATTATCTGCATTCTATTATGATATAATTCGATTGGCCGTTCTCGCGATGAAATCGGCCTTGGACGATGGGGAATGGCCTGTGGAGCCGAGGCACATCACCTGTGACGAGTACAATAATACGAACACGCCCGAGAGGAAGTTGAATTTTTTCGGCAAATTAAAAGAAGCTTATAAAAATATAACGCCAACATACGCGGGTATTAAATGGGGATCGAGGAACGGAGAGCACCAAGCTAAATTCGTGATGTCTGTCCACTTGGTGGGCATAAAGGATGGAGTTGTTTCGAATACTATCGACAGTGGATCTTGGAACGCAAGCATTTCTTCACCATTACAGGTAAATTATAGAATCTATTATATCGAAAATATTTGATTAATATTTGATTTTTACGATGAATGATTATGATTCTTTTTTCAACATCTACCATCTTTCTTTTCTCATCTGTAGATTCTCTAATTTTTCTAATCTCTTTTTAAGTTTTGACTTTCGTGCACCTCGAAATGATTTTAATCATCGTTTAAAAAAATCGAGTAAAAATTTTTTTGAATATATATAAAAAATATTATATTTCCATTGTTATTTCTTAATAAAAAAAAAAAAAAAATAACATCAAATATGTGTGCATTATTGATAAAATGAATTATAAATTAGTTATTGAATAGAATTTTCCTGAGATTATTGATAAGAATCGGAACAAACATCATTCATATTTAATTTTTAGAAGATAGTATATAAAGTTCCTTACACGTTTAATTAAGCGAGAAAAATTGATAAAAGTATTTTATATAAAAATTTGATAAAGTGTATGCGACATTTTTAAAAGAAATTAGGTTGATCTATTGATTAGAAAAAAAAAAAAAAACAATTATGGTTTGTTTAAGTCACGCGAAGATGAGGTTCTATTCGATAATCGAGTATCAGGTTTATTATGATAATCGTACTTCCGGGTTAATCGGTACCAATTACGAAGCATCGTTACGATTAAATGAAAATTAATGCACCATTACCATCTCATAAAGTAATAATTATTTCTAGTAATAATTTCTAATTCTCATTTTTCAGTGAAACGAAGAACTTAAGCCAGACTTTCATTAGGGGTGTATTAAATAATAAATATTTTCAATGAAATTTTCATATTTTTTTAAATTAACCATTGCGAACTTTAATTCCTTAGTTTTGAAAAATTTAATTCCTTAGTTCCATTATTCATCGCGATATTTATACCCCTTGACACATTTATTTACAGTTATTGCTGATAGCAGTGTTCGCTAATGGAAATAGCGCATGCAACTATATTTATTTATTCAACATGTAATGCGAAACCCTTCAACTACGTAATTGTGTCTTGACACTCGCGAGTTTCGTATCGAATACTTATTCTTGTCCCGAGATATCATCACTTGCCTTTATATAGATATAATTTTACGTTTTAACGAAGTCTTAATATCACGAAAAAAAGATATTTTTACACTCCAATCATTTCAAATATCAAAAAAAAAAAAAAAAAAAGAAAAAAAAAAGAAACTCTCACGATACAAATTTTTACATATAAATATACATTAATCTCTCTCAATCAATCCAGTCTATCTAAACTGGTGTTTTATGTAAAGTTAACAAACAACGACGTAATGAATACCACAGCGGTGAAAAGCTATCGAGTGGTCACTGTAATTCATCCGCCATTTGTAATGTACAACGAGGAGAAGAACGAGTATTATGGTTTTTGCATCGATCTTCTCAACGAGATTAAGAAAACGGTAGGCTTTCAGTACGAAATACGAGAAACAGATGATAAGAAATATGGGAGTCTAAATTTAGACGGAAGTTGGAACGGAATGATGAGGGAATTGATCGAGAAACGAGCTGACATCGCGTTGGGTTCTCTCTGGGTCACAGCGGAGAGAGAAAGGGTGGTGGATTTCACAGTGCCTTACTACGATCTCGTCGGCCTCTCTATCATGATGCTGAAAACGAAGACCACCACCTCTTTATTTAAATTCCTCACGGTATTGGAGAACGAGGTCTGGTTCTGCATCTTGGCCGCCTATCTCTTCACCAGTGTCTTGTTGTGGATCTTCGATCGTTGGTCACCATATAGCTACCAGAATAATCGGGAGAAATACAAGAATGACGATGAAAAGAGGGAGTTCAACTTGAGGGAGTGTTTCTGGTTCTGCATGACTTCTTTGACCCCACAAGGCGGTGGAGAAGCTCCGAAAAATCTTTCCGGTCGACTGGTCGCCGCCACTTGGTGGTTGTTTGGTTTCATAATCATCGCCTCTTATACGGCAAATTTAGCGGCGTTTTTGACAGTATCCAGATTGGAAATTCCGATCGAAACGTTAGAGGATCTTAGCAAACAGTATAAGATTCAATATGCACCGGTCATAAATTCCTCGGCTTATATTTATTTCAAGAGAATGGCTAATATAGAGTGGAAATTCTACGAGTAAGTAAACGAAGAGGTTAGAATAATTTTCAAGATCGAAACCTTCGTTCGAAAAAAAAAAGAAGGTAAAGGGATAGCGAGATAACGATCATGTTATATCTTATCTACTATTTTAGAATTTGGAAGGAGATGAGCCTTAACGACAGTTTGTCAGACGTGGAGAGAGCCAATTTGGCAGTGTGGGATTATCCTGTCAGTGACAAGTACACAAAAATGTTGCAAGCCATGGAGGAGGCAGGATTTCCGGCCTCGACGGAAGAAGCACTTCGACGAGTTCGACGTCTCGATTCCAATAACGAATTTGCTTATATAGAAGATTCAACAACTATTAAGTATCTTACCATGACGAATTGTGATCTGATTCAAGTAGGAGAAGATTTTTCGAGGAAGCCTTACGCGATTGCTGTTCAACGAGGATCGCCTTTGAAAGATCAATTTAATAACGCGTAAGTTATTATCTCTATTCTTTTCTATCTATTTTAAAGTAAAATTAATCGATTTTCTTTTTAATATCACTTTTCTTTTCTAACGCAGAATCTTGATACTATTAAACAAGAGGAAATTAGAAAAATTAAAAGATAAATGGTGGAAGAAGAATCCGAGCAAAAAAGATTGCGACGCAGAAAACAGTCAAAGTGACGGTATAAGTATTCATAATATCGGAGGAGTGTTTGTAGTCATATTTCTAGGTATCATTTTTGCTTGTTTCACTTTGGCATTTGAGTACTGGTATTATAGACACCGTACGAAGATCACGAAAATCGATCGAAACAATACGATGAAAAATAAAATCACACAAGTAAAACCACTCAGATTTAATTTACAACCGGCGCCTACGCATGCTTTTCAAAATGCCCAATTCAGACCAAGATTTTGAATGTGTTCGTGACAAAAAAGAAAATAAAATATTGACAAATAAATTATTCTATATTGTAGATATATTATACTTCGATTTTAATATTTATTGCTGTTTAATGTTCGATAAAAAAAAAGAAAATATATATATATATAAACCAAGGAAAAAAATATTTTAAGAAACGAATATATCTTTTTTATTAAAAATATATATCTGTATATCGGAATAAATAATATACAACTATAGCGTTTGCAATGCCTTTATTTGGTTACTCCCTTTACATTATTTTGCGCAGAGAATTCATGTTCGAATGTTCTTTCGTATCTTTTCTTTATACTTCCACTTTTTCCATATCGCAATTCATGTACCTCGCTTGTCATTTTAAACTATCTTCTTCGCCACGTCTTAACATTATCATCACGTTTTTTTTTTTTTTTTTTTTTAATAACATTTTACTCGCTCTTTTTCATTCTCTTTAAAAGGCATTTATTTTTTTCTAATGATGTTCCTCTCATATTTTCGTCCGCTTAACTTCGCCAAGATAGGCGTAGTATTTTTTTCGTGTTATACGTTTCTTTTTTTTTTATATATACATATATATTTTTTGTTTTTTTTTTTTTTCCTCACATGTACGTCTTCAATAATATTTTCTCTGAGGGAGCATTGGAAAAGCATTGGATACTCTGGGTTTCTTTAAAACATGGGATCTGATGGATGATGGAATTGGGACAGGGTATTAATCATCTAGGATGTTAAATTATAATTAGGTGGATATAATTAAGATAATCCATTAATAATTACGAAAAAAAAAAACAACAAGAAAATAGAATAGTACTTCGATGGTTCTCGGTTTAATATCGTGCGGCACTTTTTTTTATCCTTTTTATTCATACTTATATAAGTACTCCATCCTCGAATTTTATTCTTTTGGCTCTTCTCTCTCTTTTTTTTTTTTTTTTTTTTTTTTTTTTTTTAAGTTAATTTCATTCTTTTTTTGGCATTTTTTCTTAGTTACTCGTTATTTTCATTTTTTCTCTCTTTCCTGCAGTGCATCCAATGCAAACATACAATGAACGCCTGCACATCAGATAAGAAACAAAAAAGGAAAAAACTGCACGCTACAATTTCTAGAAAAATCAGCGCACTAATTATATATATATATATATATATTTTTTTTTTTTTTGTTTTCGTTTCTTTCTCCTCGAAAAAGTTCACATAAAATTATCAACAAGCTACAAACGAAATCTCATTGACTACGTTCTCGATACTTTTTTCCTTTCTCTTTTGCACACGTTCTCATCGTTGAACGTTGCGTAACATATATACCTTTTTTTTTTTCTTTCTATTTCATTCCGTTCTTTTTTTTTTCCTTTTTATTTTTCAAAGGGTTAATAATAATTATCTAAATGAACGTTTAATATTTCTTTCGTCTCGCTTCGCTCGCGTTACGACCGTTAATATTTTTTTTTTTTTTTTTTTTTACTCTGTTCAACGACAACGGGGGATACATTTTTTTTTTTTTTTTTCATTTAACGGCACCATCTTGGATACATGCATAACAAATTCCACATGCCAAGAGGCCCCCCGATGTCATATTCTTTTATTTTTCTTTCTCTGTTAACAATTTACGTCGTCATCTTGAGAAAAAAGCATAACTACACCTCAAACCTTCCAGTCACATAGCATTTGTAGCAGCTCATATTAAGTTCCAGTTCATAAGGTCAACGGACGCAAAGTCGTCAGAGGCTGGCATCCGAAACTGCTACTGTGCCTTCTATCGGAAAAAACATATTAAACATGTAATTTTAATTGTAATTACAACAATTTGACTAAGTACTCAGACTATATACATTCTATGTTACATGTTAAATAGCGCGCTTCAAATTAAATTCAACCTATGTAGTTAACAAATTGAGACCAATTTCTCAAAAAGTATTTGCTCAATTAATGCTGCTTAATATCATAACATACTACATACCATGTGATTGATTATGTGTATGTATATACATATATATATATATATTACATACTGAACTTACACATACAGTTTATCAATTTCAAGTTACATATTGACTGACATAACAAAGAAAAAGTATTTCCTCGATGTTCATAACTCAAATAATTTAACACGTAACCAACAACAAAAATTTTATTTTCACTATTCAGCCAATGATTTTTTATTTTAATAGATATTTGTACCTCCGAACAAACGTGAAAAGCCTTATTTTAATGCGCAACAGAATATTAATATATATACGTTTCGCTGTATTAAAATAAAATGATGGATATATAAGCTTATTTTTTCAATCATTTTTCAACTCAACAGCAATAATGCATAGCATAACAAATTAAAACCGAAAAAAAAAAAAAATAAAAGAAAATAAAAAGACAAAGCTGTCAATAGTACGATTTCAGTAGTACGAATTCCTTCTAGAGACGCTTTATTACCTTTTCCTATCATTGTGCAGAGGTACATTAGATCGTACCCAGCCCAGTTGACCCAATGCATAGCAATCTTTCTCGACATTCTCTTCTTCGCGAATAACAGTATCTTCCACTCCAATTGGAGTATAATGAAAATGATCCTGTTCGGAGAGAATTCTGCGTTTGACCGGAGATCGAATGGGCTCGGTTTGAACGCACTTGTCGCATTGACGCACCCTGAATTTCAACGTTAAATTCGAAGATACTGGAGAAAGCGATGAGTCGTTCTCTCGATACTCCATGTAAGGACTCTCTCCACCAGGTAGATATAACAAGTTTCCTGACTCAGATCTGCGATATGCGACCCGCTCTAAAGTATTGTTCACAGGAAATGTAGTCCCATCGGCCCACTGACCATCATCCTTTATTGGACGAAAGTGTGTGCGAGCGGAAGTAAGCAAATCCTCGTCCGGTTCTGGAAGGCTGTTTACTTTCAGATTTGAACGAGATTCTTTGCGTGTTCCAATGGGAGTTTTACGCGGAGCGACTGGAAAGAAGCAGCTACCTGTCTGAGGACTGTGGCCCAAGGTAGCTAAATTACTACCAAGCCCTTTCCAGCACCATGATCCATCCATAGCTGAGTCAGACCAGTTAACATTGTTCTCTGGAATAATATATATTAGATATTTATTTATTTTGCAATAAAGTTAATTAACTAATTTTTACACGTATATAAAATAAAAAATAAGAATAAAACATATATATTGCAGCACGACACAGATACAATGACATTCTACGACTAACTTGATGAATTCTGTTATTTACTTACATGTCAGAACGATCTCCTATCCGTTGGATATACTTAAGTCAGTATTACTATGTCGTGATACTGATAGATTATATATATCTGAAATACTGACCTGATTTATTTTTGTTACTATATTCATCCGCATAATCTTCAATGCTGATTAAATCGATGTCCCATGGAATAAGCGGCGAGTCGTCAACAATAGATTCCTGATACGGCGTGTCAGTAGCATAACCATTGTCTGAGGTGGATAAAGTAAAGATTGTCTCGGTAGTATCTGTCGGCCAAAGGGGTCCTGAAGGAATAGAAAGTGTAGGTGCTGCCCAAATCGAAGCCGTGTCTTGTGCATTGCCTGGTCCTGAATCCCAAAGTGCTTCCAAGCTCTCGTCAAACTTTGCTTGTAATTGTGCCAATCGAAGTTTATCCAATTCCAATTCTAGTTCTTTTTCTCTTTCAAGTTCCATTGATTTAGCAAATCCAAAACTTTCTTTTTCTTCTGATCTTCGTGAGTCAATACTCTGTAGAAAAACAGATCAATTCATTAAAAATTTTCTTCGATGATATAACGCAATATTTAAGTTAAATATGATAATATAATTAAAAACTTATACTTACAATAGACATTTTTGTTTTTTTATTGCGAGATTTATTAGTATTCTTATTATTATTATAGTTGACTCCGTTAATTTTATTATTATTATTATTATTATTATTATTATTATTATTATTATTATTTCCAAAATTCCGATCTTTTTTCTGAGAAAATTTTTTCAAGGTTGTAGGTTGTAAAGCAGGAAATGCCGCGTAATATCTGAGAGCTCTGTCGCGAGGTGTAAGCGACTCTAAATTTGTTTTATTTTCATCATTGGACTTCTTAAATTCTTCTTCCTTTTCATCTGAACCGCCTCCTTCCAAGTCTCTAAGTTTCATACATAATTCGTCGACCAACGTTTCCACACCACACTTCTATATAATTAAGAATATATATATGTGTGTGTAAAAAAATTTGAAGTATAAATCATATTAAAAATTATTGTTACTTACATTATCAGCAGCACTTGTTAAACATTGCACGACAGCACGTCTTTGCTCTCTATCTCCTTGCGTGGGCAGTTTTGCTTTAGGTCGGGCCCGAATGCGACGCCCTCCGTTTCTACCTGTACCTACTGCTTCTTCTGGTGGGCTTAGGGCCGAGTCGGGGCAGCGCAATAGGCTGAGCACAAATCGCGAGTACGCAACGGGGTCAATTCCCAATGCGTCCAAGCGTGCCTCGAGCCACTGGCGCAACTCCTCCTCGGCCCTGGTACCAAAAACTTCACCTCCACCAGGGGACGTCGCTATTCCGACCAGATGCAATGCCGGATTCCTCATTTCCTTTTAATAAAGCTCCTCCTAGACCCAGGAACTTTTACAGACTTCACTACCTCCAGGGTGATCATCTTCTCTCCTTAAAACGTAAATAAATTTTATCACTATTTATATATTAAACTTTAATACGATGAAGATTTATGAAAAAAGTGAATGATCAAGTTACCTATTTACAATAGAGTTACTGTATTATATTATTGTCCTTTAATGTTTCAATTTTACTGAATCCACCACCTTGACATTTACTAGCTTGATAAATGTTCTTTTTTTTTCTCTTTGTTACTTATAATTTCTCACTTTTAGTTTCGTTGCCCACAATCAATGGTGGTACTTCTTGTGATTTCAGTTACGTTGATATTAAAAATTACTTAGTTCTTGTGCAGGTGGTGGATATCTTGTGGAAATGAGGCTGGCAGGTCTTAGTGAAGGATAACAAATATAGTCTCCTTCCCATTTTGACACTGAAATTTTATAATTTCCAAATTATTCTTTTAAATATTTAATATGCAAAAATATTTTCTGTAAATAAAAGAGTACATGTTTGTTTTTTTATTATTCCCATTTATTTATATGATAAAAAATATAATTCTATAATACATAGTATATTTTGGCAAAATCCATATATATATATACACAATAAACTTATATTTATAAAAAACTTTTTAAATAAACTATAATAAAACATATAATAAAACATATAAAAAAAATTGTTATCATATTTCTTATATATGCAACACTAAATAATAATTGTATAAAACTTTCATTTTCATATAAACTGAAAAAGTGTTAATGTCAATATATTAACAAACTTATGCAATATGCTACATATAAGATGATATATAAAAACATAACATTTATTAAAACAAAGCTATATTAACAATAAATATTATTTTTATAGCTAAGTATCTAAATAAATTATAACAACAAGCATTATTCAATATATATCACATATCATAAAATAATAAAAAAAATAAATCATAAATATTTAAACATAATATTAAAAATCAATTACTGATTTATATTTTTCCAATAAAATATTAAAATATATAATAGGCATTATTTATTTTTATTTCATAAATATAATATAATATAAAATATTATATAATAAATATATTATTTAACAAATATAATATAAAATATTATAAAAATTTTCAATAATCATATTATAAATGTTTGAAATAAATATATTTCTTTATTTGTTAATCATAAGTCAAAACAATATTTATTTCATTGACATAAAAAAAATATTTATGTCATTGACATAAAATTAGCATGAAATTTTGTTTATTTTATTAAAGCATATAATTATACAAAATATTTCTATTGCAAAATTTTAAATATCATATTTAATATACGTTCGATTAGATTTGCAAAGATTTTACGCAAAATATAGTTGCAAATGTAAGACGCAATTTTAGAAATGAACATTCATGTTAGAGACTATTAAGTCACGTTGCACAAATCGTGGAGCTAAAGTACATGTTCCACGTCGTGTCTAAAAAACGAGCTACCATAATGCATATATAAATAAAAACAAGTTACTGAACCTGTCGAAACGAATCGACACTTTTATCAATGTTGTCAAAAACATTTATCGCTACATTACGTGAATATGAGTAATTAAGCATAACACAAGATTTTTGAGTTTGCACACATTATCAACCAGCCTCGTCCACTTGATAGATGTCTCTCGTACTGGAGCACAAAAACAAACTGTAAATTCGAGTGCATAATACTGCAATTTGGCTGTTTACGGATTGTTGGCAAAGACATTGCTAGAGCAATGCAAATAACCTTGCCGATTGCGCTATGCATTTTGTCTGAGTCATAGTTCTTTTGACAAGAGAACGAACAAATGCATGACGTTACGAAATAACAACAAACATATTTTCACATTTAATGCATTGTCATCTTGTGACAAGTATTATAGTTACTTCGATCACGATTAATGAAAATATTAAAATTTTGACATACCTGCATGCCTCGAGAGATGATTTTCACCCCGGCCTCTTCTACACACCCCACTCAGAGAAAAACATGGCGGCTACTAAAAGCTTCATTGCCCCTCCCCCTTCAGATACTGGCACTTGATAATTCTTGCAAAAGATTCTTAGTGCGTTCAGAAATTAACCTTCCATTGATTACAAAGATTAATTGAATATTATTTGTAATTATATCTACGATGTATTTATTGTTTATTAGGTTTTATTCGATATTTTACTTTTAAAATTTTATTTTCATTATAAATAAAATACGTTTTGCAAATTTTATTTAATGTTTTTTATAGAATGTTTAATTTATTTATGTTAATAGTAAGTGTAAGTTATTTTAATAAATGTAAACTAGAAAAATTATAATGGACATACACATGAAAAAACAAATTGATCTGATCAATTTTAATATTCGACATTAGTAATTTAATAAATTTTATACCTTTAATAACTATATTTAATAATAATTAAAAAATTCTTTAAAAAATATAATATTATTATTAAATCTAAAAATAGAATTATTTAAAATATAGATATATTTATATATTTATCATTAAATTGTTTAATAGATTTTAATAAATCTTAAATATTTTATAAAAAAGAGTTAATATATTTTTATTTAATAGTTTAATTTATAGTAAAAATACTATGTATACATTTTTAAATGGTTATGAAAATAAATATTATAGATAAACAAAATTTAATTTTTTAATGTAATTATAAAATACATTTAATTTCAAATATATATTAGAAAATAAATCAAAATAAATATTTATAATTCGATATTAATTATTAAACTAGTGATATTTATTTAATCAGCTGATCTTTGTTCTGTATCACTATGTTCAAGTCGGAAAATGTGTGATGGTGAAGTATTTTATCACGTTACAGATAAAAACGACTTTGGAAGATTGCATAAATTACAAAAAAAATATTGTAATATAAGATGAATTCTTTAATTCATACTAAAAAAATGGTATCCGGTAACAGAACAGCAATTCGCAGTATGTAGAATCATTTTTTTTTCAAAATAATAAATCAGAACAATAATCTTAATTATATTCTAATACATATATTATACATATTATACATAGTACATTTATATAACAGATATATTTACAGATAGAGTTATTAATATCTATGATAAATTAATATAAATTTTTTTTTCCATTATTATTTTTTTTATTAATCTGTATAATTTCAATCGCATATAGGTTATGTTATGAAATAGATATTACATTGATATTATTTTATTTTTTGTATCAATTATAATATTTTAATTATTTAAGTAATTTTAATTGCTTTTATTTATAATCAATTATTATTTTTTTTTTCAAAAAAATAAATGTTAATGAAAAATATATTATTAAAAATTATTTAGAAACTTAATTTAATATTTTATATTTTACAAAATATTATTATTATAGATTATTGCAGCTTTAAATTATGGTATAATACCAATCAAATAAATAGTAGCTTGGCATTTATTTGTGTAAATAGAAGAAATCCCAAGAATAACAGATTATTATTGCATTCTACAATAACAGAAAATTACAACAATAATTTGTCCTATGTACAATTTCGTACATTTTATATTACACCAATATGGAATGGTCAAGAATCATCTTCCAAAGTAGAAGATACAATAAAAAATATCAAGGAAAAAAAAGAACTTGAAGCTAAAACACAAGAATGTGTTGTTCATACTTCTTCAAAATCAAAAGTAGTAGAAAAAAAGCCACCAATTTGGGAAAGAATCAAAGGAGAAATTCTACATTATTATCATGGATTTAGATTATTAGGTCTTGATATGAAAATTTCAGCAAAATTGATATGGAGAATTTTACAGGGTAAAGAACTTAGTAGAAGAGAACATAGACTTGTAAGTTATAAATGATATCACATATATTTATAATTAATAATTTAAGTAAAGTATATTCATTTAATTATTTTTGTGATTTTCTAATTTAAATATTTTTAGCTTGTAAAAACAACGGGGGATGTGTTCAGGCTTATTCCTTTCTCTGTTTTTGTTATTGTACCCTTTATGGAATTTTTACTTCCAATTGCTATTAAGGTTTTTCCTGGATTATTACCATCTACTTTCCAAACAGCAACAGATAAAGAGAATAAATTAAAACAAGCATTGAAAGTATGCATTATAATTTTGTAAAAATTATTTTTCTATATATGTATAAATATAGATATATAGTTACATACATACTTTTTTTAATTTCAGATTAAAATTGAAATGGCAAAATTTTTACAACAGACATTAGATGATATGGCAGTACAATCAAGTGATTGTAAATCTCAAAAAGCCAAAGAATTTGCTGAATTTTTTTATAAAGTTCGAACCTCTGGTGCTGTGGCTACTAATGAAGAAATTATGCAATTTAGTAAACTATTTGAAGATGAAATTACATTAGATTCTCTTACTCGACCACAATTAGTTGCATTATGTAGAGTATTAGATGTACAAACTCTTGGAACATCGAATTTTTTACGATTTTTACTTAGAATGAGACTTAGAAGTCTTACTGCAGATGATAAAGTAATTTTTATGTATATATAAAATGCATTTTTTAGGGGAATAATAAAAAATGCAGATTTAATAATAATATTTATTTTTACAGTTAATTGAAAAAGAAGGTATAGATTCACTTACTAGAAGTGAATTGCAACAAGCCTGTAGAGCTCGCGGAATGCGAGCATATGGATTACCAGATAGTAAATTAAAAGAACAATTGTCTCAATGGTTAGACTTAAGTTTAAATAAAAAAGTTCCACCTTCATTGTTACTCCTTTCACGAGCACTTATGGTTCCCGAAACAATACCAATGTCAGATAAATTAAAAGCTACTATTTCTGCTCTTCCTGATACTGTTGTTACACGTACTCAGGGTGCAATAGGAGAAAAAGAGGGTAAAATGGATCACAAAACGAATATCGAAATTATTAAAATGGAAGAACGCAAAATTGAAGAAGAGAGGCAAGAAAAAGAACCACAAACTACTGTTTGTTTACAAAGCAACAAAACGGACGAAATTACGAATTCAGATGTAAAAGTTTTAGAACAGGCTTTAGATTGTCTTGGAAAGGTAGGAATGAAATATTATTATATTATTAAATTAATAGTTTTTAATAATTTCTTTTAAAAATTAAACATATATATCTAATTTTATAAAGGATAAAGAAATGTCTGTTGAAAAAGAAGAATTGAAAGAATTGAAAGAAGAAATGGCCGATTATCAAGAAGATCTTAAAGAATTTTATGAAATAAAAGCAAATGCTAAAGGCCAACAAGACATAGAAAATATTAAAGTATCCAAAGGTGCCATTCGTTTGTTTAATAAAGTGAATAAGATGATTAATAAAATGGATGCAGTTGTTGTTCAACTTGAATGTGAAAAGAAAATGAAAGAATTACAAAATATAAATAATGTTAATAAAGAACAATCAAATACTTCAAAAACTGCTGAAGAATTAGTTAAGATAGATGAATTAATTTCAGCAATTAAAAAAATGCAAAGTGTACCTGATCAACATCGATTACAACGCATAGCTGAAATTTTAGCAAAAATTGATGATGATAGAGATGGAGCTATAAAAATTGAAGATGTCTTAAAGGTAATATATAATATAGTATAAATAATAGAAAAAAAAACAGAAAATTAATTCATTTAAATTTATAATAATTATGGTTTTAAGGTATTAGAATTAATTGGTAAAGAAGACATCAAATTAAGTAAAAAGCAAGTAGATGAATTACTTGAATTGATTGATAAAGAAGAAATATTGGAAGAAAAAGAACAAAATCAAAAAAAGTTACAAAAAGATTCGTGTGAATGTAAAGATGAAAATGATGTTAAAACAAAATGTGTTTTGCCTCAATCACCAGTTTTTGTTACACCAATAACAACTGAAAAGAACATCGGTAAAGAAGAATTAAAGAAAGTTGTTGAAGAATCGAACAAAAGTTATAGTATACATTCATCTGAACAAGAAAGAGAAAAATCAGCTGCAATGCTTAAGAGTAATTCCAGTTCTGATGGAGTTAGAAATCCTCCCTTAACTCCTAATGTTCCATCACCAACAAAAAAAGCGGAAGGCTCTAAGCAACTGTAATTACCGCACAATCGAATATTATAATTTATGTAATTAAACAACATTTTTATTGGGTACAGATTTAGAAAACTATCATATTTTCATCTTTATAGATTATATGTCTACCTCTATATAATATGATATTATAAATTTTTTTTTCCTTTTTTCTTTTTTCTTTTTTTTTCTTTTTTTTTTTTTTTTTTTTTTTCTACAAATGAATTTATATAGTAAAAAATGATTGCAACAAAAATGATTGCAATAGTTTCATGTGTGTAGTATGTAACACACTTTAAGATAAATGTTACTGTTACATGCATGACTTTAACCATTTGTAATATTTAATTAAGAGTAAAGAAAATATTAATGTAATTTTTGTATTTATGAAACTAAAAGATTTTGAATTTTTAAGACTGTGATGCATTTAATGGCATCAATATATATTCGTTCTATGAATTTTCTAGATAAAAAACGTGCTGGACACAAAAACAATGTAATGCTTTTTAAAATTGTAAGTGACAATATTAATGTTACTGACATTGAGAATTAGTAATGAAGTATAACAGAAATATATAGTTATTATTTCAATATAACCTAATTCCAAAATATTGTAATAAGAAATCATTCCATTTGTTCAAGCATTGATTATTATTAGGATTATAATTCACGAACTTAAATAGATCATTTTTGTTTTATTGTACAATAAAAAATATACACCTCAATAATTGAGGTTAAAAAGTTGTACATTTATAAATACAGTAATTAATAATTAAGTACAGAACAAGAAAAGCGATTATATTTATGTACTGATTACATAAAAAAACATGATTATGTAATTAAGTATGCAATATTTTAGTAATATAAGTACTATATGCATTACATGAAAATTTGTACATTTCAAAATTAAAGATTGACTAACTAAATTTTGATTACAATTGAAAGTAAATGAAATATTATTTTTATTAACAATAAACTTATAAAAAAAATATTAAAAAATAGAATTTTCGCAATAATAACTAAATTATGAACATTCAAATATGTCTATGATGGCACATATACATTTGCACAAAATATCATATTGTTATAAAAAAATATTTTATTTCAGAAACAATACAAATGATAATAATATTCAAGATATTTGAATATTTTTCATTTATTCAAGGTATTTATACATTTATTTTTTTATTTTTTTATTTATGAATCATATTTTCAATTTATATTAATAAAATCATTTCTGTATAAAAACTAGTAATTATTCTTCTTCTTTTAGTTTAAGTCAATATTTATTATTATTAATATAACAAATTATTAAATTATATATCTTTTAATTATTTTTTGTTATAATTTTATCTCATTCTACTTCAGACAATTAATATTAGATATAATTAATAATATAAAACATAAAAATTATTAAAGATAAATAAACAATCGTAAATTATATATATATATATATAAAATATCACATAATTAATTTTTTTCTTTTAAATATTTCTATTGTATATTATTATTATTTAATTACAATAACTTAAATTTGCTTTATCTACTTCATTTACCTTTATTGATTATTTCGAATACTTAGCGTAAAGATTTATTTTTTGTAATTTATTTAAATTAATGTACATTTTTATTTGGATTATAAAAATATAAATATATTTTAAAATTAATATAATAATATGATCATTATGAAAAAATATTACTAAATTGAATCTAAATATTAGATGATAGTTAATAATTAACACTTCTAAAGCTGTCATAAATCATTCCTTTTCAATTATGTATGAAATCTAATTTTAAAATTTATTTATAAACAAGTAATATTATATATATAATGAATATACTATAATTTAATCTATTTTTTTTTTAAATTTTCTAAATAAATAAAAAAAGAAAATAGTAAAACTTGCGTATAATACAAAATTTTATCCATAGCATATGTATGAAATCTAAAGACGGAGTGAATACTTTGTAATACCGGTTATTTCGCTTTTTGTAAAAGCGACATAAGTTTTGTGAATATTTAATCATAATGACTGCGTTAAGTGGTTTTATGGAATTTTTTCAAAAAGGAAAGGTAAATTTTCACTTATATTAAATATTAATAAAAATTTTTTAAATAATAATTAAAATTCTAACCTGATGTAAAAAATATTACTGATTATAATTTTTATATTTAATGCATTAAATAATATCTATTTAGAATATGTAAAGTTATTGATTTATTTCAAGATTAAATATTAATATAATTTTTTATATTAATATATATTTATTGTTTTAATTTATTAAATATATACATATAAGTATTTATTAAAATGTTTATAATATATTTTAAATTATTTAATACATTTTAGACATTTAGGCCAAAAAAGAAATTTGCTCATGGAACTTTAAGATATTCTTTGCATAAACAAGCACAAGCTTCATTGAATTCAGGAATTAATTTAAGATCTGTTGTAAAATTACCTCCTGGAGAAGATCTGAATGATTGGATAGCTGTTCATGGTACATTACAATTTTTATTAATAATTATTTATTATATGTAATAAATAAACTTAAAAAAATATAATTTTTAATAAATAATAACATAATTTCAGTGGTAGATTTTTTTAATAGAATAAATTTAATATATGGTACTGTTTCTGAATATTGTGACTCTGCATCTTGTCCAACAATGAGTGGTGGAGCTCGTTTTGAATATTTATGGGCAGATGGTGAAAAATATAAAAAACCTACTGCATTACCAGCACCACAATATGTTAGTCTTCTTATGGATTGGATTGAAGCTCAAATTAATAATGAAACCATTTTCCCTGTATCAACAGGTATAAAGTTTTAAATAATAGTTGATAATATATAAATAATATAATAAATAATAATCAATTATTTATGTAACAATTTTTTTTTACAGATGTACCATTTCCAAAAACTTTTGTCCTACTATGTAGAAAAATTTTGACACGTTTGTTCAGAGTTTTTGTCCATGTTTATATACATCATTTTGATCGTATTGTAGCAATAGGAGCAGTAGGTTTTATATTTTTATATACATTATATATCAATAATATATCTTATTATAATATAATTGAAAATATTTCCATTTTAGGAAGCACATGTGAATACATGTTATAAGCATTTTTATTATTTTGTAACAGAATTTGAATTAATAAACACAAAAGAATTAGAACCTTTAGCTGAAATGACAGCTAAGGTTTGTAAGGATACTGCATCACCAACACAAACAACAGCACCATCAAATAATGCCAGATAGTGATGAATTTAATAAATGTGTAAAATCATAATCAAATTAGAATGAGATAAATTTTTTCTAATGTAAGTAAAAAATTTGAGAAATTTTTAATTTATTTTTTTTCGAAAATATTATAAAATTTTATATTTAGGATGCCACAAAATATTACTTTTATTACTATTTACAATATCGAAGAATTTCATCAAGTGCTTTATTGTATAGTGCTTCTAATCTTCTATTGGGGATAATTTATTAATATAATTATCTCTTTTTAGTTAGTCATAAATGTTATTAATATATTATATATATAACAAATTATATAATTAAATTTTAAAAATCCATCCTTTTTATGGATAAATAGACACAGCAATAAATTGTATTTACATTTATGTGCTTTGAAAACAATTTGTGTATAAATTAATATTTGTATTCAAGTAATTTTATATATCAAGTTTTATAAAGAGAATTTAAATATATTATTAAATTATTTAAATAGAATTTAAATATTTATAATATTATTTCATAAAAATATATAATTGTACATATAATTTTGCACTATTAAGATGCTTATGTAATATCCTTATATAATGTATTAAAAATTAAAAACATTTTTTATAAAATTAAATAATACTGTATTCATAATAGAAATATAACATCATACAGTATAAAAAAAGTACAAATTTAAAAAATAATAAAACATAATAAATTAATTTCCATCATAAAAATTGTTCATTGTTTTTAATTAAATAAATAATTTATATTGATTGTAAACAAAATTACTTTAAATTAAATTTACTTTAAATCATATTTTGAAATATTTTCATCTATTAAATATAATTTCTTTTTTTCCTATAAATTACAAGTCAAAAAAAATGAATTCTTTGAAGATAAATTTATTGGTACATTTAAGCCAAATAATACATGAAAATGTATTTGAAAATGTACTATTTATTAGTTAAAATTAAAATAAGACTATAAAATATCAATGAAAAACAAATAAAAAATTTTTTGTATAGATAATTATTAATTTATAATTATATTTTTATAGTCTCATTTTAATTAAAATTTTTTGCTAAAAACGATGTTATTTATAACTTGTTCTAAATTTATCGAAGAAAATATGTTTACACTCGTAATCTGTACATGCCGGCACGAATGAGATTATAATCAAGTAAATTTTCAATTGGTCCAACTGCTGCAATTACCGGACACTGATCATAAATATATTTCATACCAATATCATGAATATTTGAAGCATTTACGCTCTGCAAATAATTTAATTTATCAAAATAAAAATAATATTTAAAATATATAAAATTCAAATATTACTTACATCTATTCTAGCTTCAAGTTCATGAAGTGGTATGCGCCGATTATAACAAAGCATTTGACGTCCAATATCTTCGCAAATTGCAGTTGTTCCATCTAATTGAAGAAGCATATTTGTTTTAAGAATGTTTTTTGCGCGATCTACTTCTTTTTCGGTTACTGTCGTACATAATCTCATCCATTCACGTTGTACATTAAATACAAAATCCTGAATTTCCATAGGATCACATACAAAATATATACCCCAAAGACCTGTATCCTATAGAAAAAAAATTATGAATATATTTCTATATATAATTATATAAATAATAATGTAATTTAATAGTAAGTACTTGATAACAAGTATTGAAACTTTGATAACTGTGACATAATCCATCACTTGCAGAAGCTTCAGCCAAATAACTTATATTGTTTACACCTCCTCCTTGACTACGATCCCATGCTCCCATAAGGGTATTTGCAACCATAAGAGGAATGTTATCTGGATCAGTCCAACCTGCACCTTCAACAGCAATGGCAACATGTGCAAGGGGAATAGTATCATCACGAACTCTTATTTCTGATCCTGTATAACGGCATGGTTCTAATATTGAAGGAATTTCATCATAAAATGGTCCTTTCATTTGGCCAAAATGTTTTTGAGCTAATTCTACTAATGCATTATGATTTACACCTCCTGCACCAGCTAAAATAAATCTATGAAAATAATATAATAATTTTTAGATATATAAATAAAATGAAATTATTTTATAAATATATAATTGTTGAATCACACACCTAGGTGGACCATAATATGACCTAACATAGTTAAGAAGATCATTTCTTGTTATACTTTTAATATTTTTAGTAGGACCAAGAATTGTTCTTCCTAATGGTGTACCCTGATAAGCACTAGCATGTAAATGATCAAAAACAACTTCTTGAAGATTTGTTTCAACTTCCTGCATTTCCCTTAAAATAACACCACGTTCTCTTTCTATTTCATTTTCGCCAAGTTTTGAATTTTGAATGATGTCACTTAAAATTTCAACAGCTTTTGGAACATCTTCTGCTAAACATTTAGCATAAAATACTGTTTGTTCCCTACTTGTATATGCATTTAAATGAGCACCCATATTTTCAATTTCTAACTCTAAATCCGTTTGTGAACGTTTAGTAGTTCCCTGTTTACAATTATTATTAATTTTATTATTATTTTTAATAATTTACTTCAAATAAATTAAAAGAATATTACTTACTTTGAATGCCATATGCTCCATAAAATGGGCAACTCCATTATTTTCATCAGTTTCAAAACGACTGCCAGCATCAATCCACAATCCAACTGTGGCTGTTGGTGCTCCACTATCTTCAGTAGCAACTCTCATACCACAATCTAAAGTTGTAACTTGAGTTGGTGGTTGATTCATTAATATTTCTTTTAATGATGCTGATGTAGATCTCCATTGCTTTTGTATCTAAATATAATTATATCTATCTTATATCTTTTGAATCTAAATATAATATAATAATAAAAAAAAAAAATAAATTATACTTCTATATAAAAAATTAATTTAATTTTATGTATTGATTTGTTTATAAATTTATAACTTTATTTTTAAATTTATTTTTTAAATTTTTATTTTTAAATTTAAAGATATAAAAAGATTTATATTAATTAATAAAAAAATAATAAAAAGATTATATTAATTAATAATTAATATTAATTTTTATTAAACAATTTTATAGCAAGAAATAGTAATTGAAAGATTGAATAAATATGAGTTTGATAATATTTTTAATTATTAAAATATAAAATTATTTATTAATATAAAATTAATAATAATGTAATTATTTTGATAATGTATAAAAACATATTCGAATTTTTAATTTTCTATGTTTATCATATTATTGTGCAGAATGACATATATTTATATATATGTATATTAAGGTTATGATAGCTTAATACAAAAAATTCTATATAAAATTCTATTCATTGTATTTTATTTGTTGTTCGTTAATACTGATTCATTTCGTTTCTTTTGTTTTTATAAACTTTCAAAAGATTCATTCTTATTACGTAAGGAGAAAATGGAATCAATCGTTTTTTATTTCGAAAAAATTATATTGATTTGAATGTAGACTTTAAAAATAATTTTTCTAATACAATATAATAATTTTATTATTTTATAAATTCTTGATTTTATTACCTTTACAAGGCTATTTTTGTTGGAATAAGCCCGCAATGCAGAGCTAACTTTAAGCAGACAAGTCGCCATTTCTACAAGTCTTTGCAACTGCGCATACGATTGGTACGATCTTGTTATAAGAAAAGTAATATAGTTCAAATTAATGCTTCAAAATAATTTTGACATATTTTCTTTATTATAGTGTAAATAAATATATTGATAAATAATATATAAAAATTTATCTAATATTAATTTAATTATATAAAATTATTTTATATATATTGTAAAATTAATAAAAAATCGATTCTTTTAAAATAATATATAATATAAATTTTTATCTTATATTATTTTATAAAATTTTTTTAAAAGAATAATTTTTTTAAACATATTAAATATTGAAAAAAAATTTAATCATATCAAATATCACATATTAAATATTAAATATCATTAAAATATATTATAAAATATAAATATTATAGAATGCATTTCTTATTCTGTTACTGAATTTTATATCATATTTATAGGGAAATTTATTATATTGAAAAAATTCCCTATTTTGTTGTTGCATCTGTAAAATTCGAAAACCGGTACAATTGTCAAGTATATTTCTCATTTATAAATATTCTTATTTTCAATAAAATAAGTAATTTTAATTAAATATTGATAGGCCTTTGAATTTTAGTTAAAAAATGGATAGTATAAATGATACCACTGAAAATTTAGAACGATCTATTCAAATGTTTAATCAAGAAAATGCTCAACGAAAGTCATTTTTGAGGTTAAGTGGAAAAAATATAACTCCAAAAAGATTATCATTGCAAAGTACCAATCATTTACGAAAAGACCAGGATGATTCTTATCAATTTAACGATATTAATAGCCCTAAAATGTTAGGCAAATTCTATCCTCATTCAAGATTAATTAAGGGCCATGATCTTTTGGATATTGACAATTCATTAACACTTACTCCTCATGAAGTTCGAGATATAATGGCTGCTTCAGAAAAAGGTGAACTTACTTTGAGAGAAATGATGGAAGATAGTAGTGCAACTGGTATAATTTTAAAATCAAAGAAACCTTTAAGAGATGTTATGTCTAAACTTTATTATGATTTCTTACACAGTGTACAGATAAATTTTTCAGAAACACAAGTATTTGATACTATTGCAGATTTTATACAGAATTGTACAGATACATTAGATATAATGAGAGGTATATAGAAAATTATGATTTATTTATTAATCTTATATTTTTATATTATATTTTTTATATAATAAAAATTTTCATCATTTAGGAATGCAGTCTAAAGTAGAAACTAATGTATCAGATGAGGAAATTTCTTTAGAGAATGAAAGGAATACATGGAGGCTTATTTATTGTTTATATCAAAATAGAATAAATAGTCTCAATTTTCCTACTCCAATGGAAGATGATTTAGAAGAAAGTAATACGTACATATCAGAAAAAGTTGTAATAGATAATTTATTTAAAACTGAAAGTTACATTAGAGAATATCAGTTAATAATTGACTGGTTGGAAAAGAATGCATTGGATCAAGCAGAAAAACACCCAATTACTGAACATTTCACAGATAAAACACTTCCATGGGAAAATACTGTAAGACAGTTATTAACATATGAGAGCAAAGATCAAATTCCTTTTCGTTCAACTAGGCCATTGTTATCATCTCTAGATCCAGATGCTCCAATAAGAGAATCTGGAGAAGGAAAATCTTTACATGATTTAGATAAAGAAGATGATAAAAGACTCGAAAAAAGAATGTTCATAGAAGTATGAATTTTTTTTAGTAAAAAATCAAATAGAAATGATTATATAAATAATAAGATTAAAAAAATATAATATGAATAATATATTTCATTCAATAGGTTCGTTGCGGTCGTCTTCAAAAAGCACAGGCATTAGCTGAACATTGTGGACAGCCTTGGAAAGCTGCATGTTTATTAGGATGGATACCTCATCATGATCCTAATTATCAAAATCCATTAATTGATACTAAATTGCCCATTGAAGGAAATCCTAATAGAAGCTTATGGAAATTATGTGCTTGGGAACTTTCACAAGATAAACGCGTAGGTAATAATTTTCTTATTGTATTCATTATTAAAAATAATTTATGAAAATATTTATATTTAAATTTTATCATTTAGGTGAATATTATCGTACTATTTATGCAAGTCTTTGTGGAAATCTTCAACAAATGTTACAAATAGCGACTTCTTGGCAAGATGCACTATGGGCTTACATGAAAACATTATTAGATATTAAAGTAGAAAGGGAAGTAAGAGATCTAGTAATAAAAAATTTTACAAACATGCCTGATGATTATTGGAAGAATGAGATTTCATTGAAAGATGTTTTTAAAGAACTTCATGCATCAAAAGATCCCAAAATTCGAATGGAATCAAATAAGCCTGATCATTTAATACAAAAATATTTGATATTAGATCAAATACCAAAATTGATGGAAGAAATAGATAATATGATAAATACGGGTACCTGTGATCCTCATTTTTTAAGATTCTTAGCACATTTGATATGTTTCTTTCGTCAGATTGGAAAAAATGCAAAAGATAAAATTGGAGATAAAGTTTTATTGGCATATGTTCATATATTAATCGAAATGGATGATCCAATTCTAATTGCTTTCTACACAGCTATGTTGCCACGAGAATTACAAGTTACCAATTATGCTAGTTATTTAGAAAATATTAAAGATCACGAACAGCGTAGAAAATGTTTAACTGCAGCGGAAGATGCTAATTTAAATGTAGAAGCAATTACGAAATTAGTAGTAGAAAGTATTCGCTCTAAAAACATTGATATTGATCCCATAGATTTGAAAGGCACTTTAACCGATACAGATATAGATAAAATTAATGCATTGGATTGGTTAATATTTTATCCAAGTCAACGAGAAGAAGCATTGTGGCAAACTAATGCTCTTATAAGATATTTTCTAGCAAATGAAAAAATTGATGCTGCTAGAAAAGCCTTTAATAAAGTATAAAATTAAATTATTCGTTATTTTTTATGTTATATTTTTACATTAAAAATTTATGATCGTTATTTAATTTTGCAGATTCCAGTGGATTCTATTGAAGCTATTATGGCTGAGTATCCAACAATGGAAGGCACATTAACAAATCTCACAATGACAAGTAATCTTTCGAAGAAAGCTTCTTCGACGATTCGGGAATATGTTTGTTACAAAACTTATCTCGATGCCCAAGAAGGTTTTGCAGAATGGTTCTCTCATTATCATCATGGAAAACCTGCACCATTAGAAGAATTGCCACCATATGCCACGTTTACTGAGAAAGTTGCATATGAACACAAAAAAGCACAATATAATGTAGAAATGGAAAGATGGACATCTACGATGCAACATCATACAAAGGCAAAATAAAATTTGATACAATATTAATATAAAATAAAATAAAAATTATTAAATAAAATTATTAATTTTATTTAATTTTATAGGCAGTTAAACAATTACTATTCAATGTATTATTATTTCCGGATGGTGGTTGGTTAGTTGATTCAAATAATAATAATAATGATGAACCATGTACACCAGAAGAAATATCTCGTGATCATCAAATGGAAAAATTACGTGAACTTTGTATTCCAAAAATTACACTTCTTTTACATTCTGTAATGTCTGAAATGAATGAACACGCTGAATGTATTCAATTAGCAGATATTCTTGCTTCTGAACAATATCAACTTTATAAGGTACATGTATTAATATATTCATAAAATATTATTATCAAAACATTAACGCAAATTTAAATTATTTATAATTTAATAAATAATATTCTATTGATATTTTTGTATATAACTTTTGTATTTGTTTTAATCTCTAAAATCTATTTTATAATAATATTTCTACAAGTATATATTCTATGTATTAAAGTTTTTTTTTTAAATAAAAAAGAAAATTACAATTCACATTTTAATATTTTATTTTAGGTATTCCAAAAAGGAAGATTACGTGAAGTATTCAAGAAAATCTGTGAATCTTCTCTTGTTTTAATGGACCAAAAAAAAGATCCTTGGGGATATCCAAAATGAAATATTTAATAAAATTAGATGAAAAAGATAATGTATATATATATATATATCTTTAAGTGCGCATATGTGATGTTACGTATTAAATCGAATATCGAAAAAATTTATAAAAATCTTTAACTTTTTTTATAAAACCAGTTTATTGTCAACCACAAGAAGTGAATATAAAATTTGATACAATGTTCAATAATTCATAATCATAATATATTATATACTTCATGATTACTTAGATGCTTCTTTTACTCAATTATTAATAAATGTAGCGCTGTCAAAGCTGTAGATTTAACGCGTGAAATATTGCGGAGAAACTCAAGGACAATGAAGGACAAACATTATCCTGAGATATTTTCATTGGAATAATCATTATAATTTTACGATGTTTCTCTATAGTTTAGCCACTTCCAAATCTCATATATATCGCCGGTAACTTTCGGACATGGATCTGTGTACAATAGATAAATACATACAAACATTTATTTGTAAATGGAAATTTTTTTTAAAGAATCTTCGCATCGAACGAAAAAAAAAGAACCATGGTACAGAACGATGGTATTTGTGATATATGGCATACATTGAAATCTCTAAATCTATGTTCAATGAGTGTTATTTTTTGCCGGCAATAGCAGTCTTTTCATAACATTTTTTATTGAGAGCGTTCGCCTCTCTATGTGGCTTGATGCATATATTTGTTTTTTTTTTCCTCTTTGTTTTTATAAAATAAGAAAAAGAAAATAAAAAAGGATTGACATTATAATTGAACCTTCACCTATTCGTGTATTATACTATATAGACTATATATCAAGAAAATTAACAGAAATGATTCCATATCAAAAATGAATAATCAAATTCATAATATAATGGTATGATTCAATTAGAGGATTAATTAATTGCGATTATTCGAAGCGATTCTGTAATTAATCATAAATGAATTAAAACTAAGAGGATATATCACGGAATAATTGACCAAAATAGATCTTTACTCGATGTTCATCCGAATTACTTTCGCTTAGAGTTCTTAGTTGAACTAGAACATAGAATTTTAAAATATGAATTATTGGATAGCCATTGAAAAAATTTACTATATTTAAATTCAATCGTTATTTGAATAAAATCTAAGAACCCTAGAAGTATAGATCTGATAATATAACGTTTCACAAATCTTTGAACTTATTTCAAAAAGCTACAATCCACTTACGAAATTAATCGATTAAGGTATTGTAAGGTATTGTATCAATAATTTAATTACGCAAAGTATGATTTATAGCACCACAATCAAGGAAAGAAAATTTTTTTGCAATTTCGAAAAAAAAATAATTTAAAACGATACGATATAAAGAATAGTATTGTAGCTTCGTGAAACAAGTATTCTGAGCATTTATATTCTTATAATACCTATTTCTCTATCGATACATAAATTTTGTAGTGCAGTATAAATTTCATCATAAAATTTTTGTTCAAAAATAGATAAAAAGAAGAGGAAAAGAAAGGATGACATGTGCAACATTATACACATATATGGCTTAAAATGCACTATACTGCATCGACATCGAAATTCAAATTCGTATACAACTTTGTATGCAGTTAGTAAGTTTATACTCTGGACCAGAGCGATTTATTTTCGCATTCAAGATGATCATAAACATTAGACACGTGCGTATTTTAAAGATTGATAAATGGAATCAATGATTATGTAAGTAGCATTTTAACTTTAGTTAAAATTAGGCTGCTATATTTAGCCTAATATTTAAATTATTTTAATACTTTCATTTTCTTTTTCTTCCTTTTTTTTTTTTTTTTNTTTTTTTTTTTTTTTTCTTTTTTTTTTAGTAACACAAGACACGATGAAATTATTAAAAAATTTGATTTGTTATGAAACCATTTTCGCACGTGTTTCGTAAAAACACGAAGGATCTTGATAATTGAATCGACTTTACAGTAATACGAGTACACGATTAATAGAGTTACTTTGTTGATTAGTCTAATCTAACACGTAAACGTTGAAAAAAACGGTTGACAATTGTTTTATCATTTTCGATAATGCTACATTATTTTTTTATTTTTTTGTTTACGCGAGAGCTTGATAAATTTGCCGAAAGATTTGGCATACTTTCCAGAATTAGGCTCGTTTTCGTTTTTTCCCTTTCTCGACATATTTCTTCAGATAGAATACAACTTGATAAATTTTACTTCTTTTTTTTTTTTTTTTCGTTTCTTCATTTAAAGTTTCACTAAGTTATTTTCTACAAGACATTCTAATTACTAATGGGTGCGTATCAGCATGTTTGAAAACGACTTATCTACGGATATTTGGATATGGATTTCATGAATTTTTTCCCTTCAACTCTTCGCACTCGTTTCCGATCATTAACAGGTTATTCTACTACTTTCGATCAAATCCAAACACGATTCTTGGAGACATTCTCTCTTAACGATAAAATATTACAACACTCGCCCAACGATGCTCTCGTCGTTCAAAAATAGATCCTTAAAATTTGTTAAACACAACTCAGGACGGTCTATCATAATAAATCAATTCTTATCATAACACTTTGTACGTTCTTTATATTGCACTCGCGAATAAAATCCTTTTCAAACTTCTGTCTTCTTAAATTCGATATTCATACAAGTGTTTTCTTGTTTCTTCTTTACACGTAAGTAGATATGTAAATCACGTGTACGTGCGACTTCGACAATCAGAGGAAGAATATTAGAATACTCAGAGAGTGCAAAGAGCCGAAGCATTGATATACCGTTTCTCCCTTTTTTTCTCTCGCTCTCTACGTTGTTTTTTAAGTGTGAAAATATATTCTACGACAAGGATAAGATTCAGAAAGATATCCAATTTTTAAAAATCTCTATAGATATATCATTGAAACAAAAAAAGATCATCGTCGTTACATACATATTGACAGTGTTATACATCCGTTTGATTAATCGACATCATTAAAATCGCTATGTTCGAATGTTGTTCCTTATTTATCTCTATCTGATTTATCGCCGCTTATACGATCAATTTCTTTATTTTTCTTTTATCATTTTCCCTTTTAACCTTTTTTTTTAAGATTAACCTTTCGAGATATTCCTCTAGAACACGGCATTTTGGACAAATCAGAGACACAAACGCCGATCTCGAGGATATTAATTTAAAGTTAATTAAGTTAATTTCTATCTAATTTTTTTATATTTAAATTCAAGAGAAAATTGTGAGAATAAATCATTAATCGAAATATTTCTTTCTTTTTTTTTTTTTTTTTCAAAAATCTTCCGAATCTTACATTAGGGATATGTTTGTAGGGATATGTGAACAAGTATCGGACAAGAAAAAACAGGTATAACAAATGTAAAAATTTGTGGAAATTATCAGCCAGGAAAGGATCATACAGGGAGGAACGTTCTTACGAATACTTAGACAATTCGTTCAAATTGAGCGCTAATAAGATAGAATCACATTCTATCGATCTCTCTTTCCCCTTCGCTTAAATTTCCTTCGAATTAATCGATCCTTGGATCCATCGACTTCCAAGAGAGGATCGACGCGTATGGAAGAAAAGTTACACGAGTTTAAAATCTTATTTTGACTACGATACGAGAGACACAAAAATTTGAAAGTGTTTAGTTACAAGGTAATCGCTAAACGATTTAAAATTCACGGGGTTTCGGGATGTCGTACATCGAAATTTGGCCATCGTTTTGATCCGATCGATGGCCGATCGATAATACGATCGTTTCTCGATCTTCGTACAATATTTATCTTCCTTTTTTTTTTGTCGTTACTTTTAAATTACACGTCGATACAGCAAAAAAGAAAGTTTTTTTTACTTAACCTCTAACCTATCGTTTGCTCCTTAATCGCTAACAACTTGAGGGATATCGCCGGGCTGCTCCGTGAATATTCTACAGGGAAGTGAAAACGAGAGACAAAGAGAGAGAAAGAGATACATACGTAAAAGTGTACATGTATACGAAAGAGACGGACAGAGGGAAAAAGAGAGGAGAGGAGAGATGAGAGATTATTAAAAAGAGAAGATCTTTACATTCCTATCTAAAACTTTCGTTTCGTTCTGTACACTCATTTGTATATATATATATATATATATATTTATATATTTATATATAACTAATAGCTTAATGTAGGCGGAACTGTACGCCATTTAATTTTTTCTTTGTACACTTACACCTCGAATAATTGATCCGTACAGATACATGTTTGTCTCCTAACAAATAACACTTGCTGTCCTGCGTTTCCTTATTGCAACCATTGTCAAATAGCCGCGTTATCGATCTAATCAACTAGCACGAACGATCGTAGTATCTAAAACGATCGTGGTTCATTGTCCAAATCGTTTCAAAATTAAGAATGGTAAAGCGTATCCATAAATATTGTCAAAGGTTTAAAGACTTTATTAAGATCTCGAAACATTCTGAAGATATCGAAATCCAAAATATATTTATTCTTCTTTTTCTTTCTTTTGTTCTAAGAAGAATCTTTTGTGAAGAATTAAATTTTTAATAAATCTCGATTCTCGAAATTCTTTCTCACAATAAACAATTGATCACTTGTTCGACTTAGACTATTGTTTTTAATTAATTAAACTAAATCTAAAATCTAAACCTGAATTCAATGATTTATAACAATTATTATTTAACTGAGTTTCGAATCAAGAATAATAAAGAAAATAAAATAAGAAAAAGTTTCGAGATTTCTCTAGTGTCTCTTGGTTTAAATTATTATTTGGATACGTTTCACCATCACCATCTCATAAAATATAGAACTCTTTAATCTCGATCAATCCTATTTTATTGTCGGAGTTACTTTTTTCATTGTCGAATAGATAATCGACCCTTATCAAGATATATCTTTATTGTCTCGAGTAAAAGGTTCAAACGCGGGACACCAAGTTTCGATGAGTCGGATTTTTTTTATTTTTTCGAAATGCTACTTTCCTCCCCGATTCGCGTGTAAACCGCTCGGAGCAGCCCTCTCGAATTTTTGATTCGGTATCATCATATTATTGTCTTCCACAGAAGTAGGAGTTTTATATCCGCTTACATTGTTACAATCCGCCTCGCTCTCTCGCTTAGAGAAGAAAAGAATGCAACACAGATAACGGGGGAATAAGGAATAGAGAAGCGAGATAGAGGAGAGAAAAATAACAAAAAAAAAAAAAAATGGCGAGGATGCGTTATTCTAAGGCATGCAGACGCGAAGAAAATTATGTGGAATCCTCTGAAGGATCGTCGTCGAGTATTGCCGGAATTATTTGGATCCAAACGTGTCGGATCGATTTCGTCTTATTGTCGCTTTGATCAATTTTACAAACGCGTGTAATACGTATCCTTAACATTGTTTTTCTTTTCTTTTCTTTTCTTTTTTTCTCACGTAAAAGCTGGGGCAACGATGTCCAATGTATTCGTCGCTTCTTTTCACGAATTATATTTGAAGAGGTATCGATCTTTCGATCGTCGTAACTCGAAAGGAGAGGGAAACGGTATAAATAATGCTAAATCTTTATCCAACTATCGATGGTTATAAATTACAAATTACGAATACAAATTGAACAACGTTGGCAGCTAAAACGATGTAAATTTTCGAATTTTGTTTCATATGTTATGCATGTAGTACCTCATGTAATGTATGTATGTTTAATATATGTATATATATATATATATATGTATGTATATATATAATGTTTATGTTAGGTATGTATGCATATGTAATTAAATACAGGCTGGTCTTCGTGCGATAAGCAATCGAAATTGCAAAGAATTTTGTTCGCTGCTAGCAATTTTGAGGACACCCTGTTACTTAGAATCTGAATATTGCATAGTTTTTACATTCATATTTTAAAAAGTGGAAGAGATATATCTTTTTTTTTTTTTTGCTACTTCGTTAATCTCTACGTTTCTAAAGTGATTATGTATTTTTCTGATTTCTTGGTTGCACGATCTCTTATTTCTTGCGCGTATCGCGCTATCGCTTCTTGATTTGTACGTCTCTTTGAATACGTGTGTTTTTTTTTTTTTCTTTTTTAAATCTTCTTCAAGTTAGATTAATCGTCTTACTCGATTTACTTTTATAAAATGGGATATTTTTTTTTTTTTTTACTTTCTTTCGCGTACTCACGACTTACGATACGTTTAAAGCGCAAGAAACCAGTTCCTAAGTATTACAGGGTATCATTTGTCCGAGTGGTTCCTAATTCGTGTAATTAGAGAAGTTTATTATCTGTACCCAAGGCACATTTTATACTTTCATTCCGTTTTAGGAAGGTCCACTCTATAGTATATGTACATATTATAGCATTGTTACACGTATAAGGGATAGTTTTGTAATTGTATCACCCTTAAGTTATATAATGTCTGACGATACCTTGTACATATTTTCTCGTTTTATTTATTTATTTTTTTTTTTTTTTATTCTTCAGCGATTCCTTCATCGTTCACTACCCTACGTATTATTGTCAAGTCGACAGCATTTATAAATGTATATCTTAAGTGCTACTCGATCTTTAATGTTACATTATACTCAACTATAGCTTTGTGCAAAATTTACATTGTACATGTACCACGGATACTTTCCCCGTTCTTTCGTTTATCACCGATATATCATCGATCATATCGATCGAGAAATTCTCTTTGATAAATTATAATTCCCTCCCATCCCATGATAAATAACACAAGTTCACGTTATTGTCAGAAATTATTTACGTTTATATATATATATACCCCGATCCCGAATTTATTATTATTATTGTCAGAAATTATTCTTCCTCTCCTTTTTCCTAAGTAGTCTCTTAAATTCTTAAACGTTAAAAATCACCTCGAATCTCGTTCTCCTCAAGTGCCGTGTTAATATGTATTTATATATATGTATATAATATATATATATATATATTTATATGTATCTGTATATATAAATATAAATATACATATATGTATATATATATATATATATATAGTATAGTATGAAATATTGAATCTGATAGATCTTAAAAATATTCTGCTAATCTTTTACGTACGATTAAACCTTACGAGCTAAATACTTTCTTACAACCTTGTATCGTGTTCAGCAGATTTTTAACAATCGCTTTTTGTTTTTTTGTTTTTTCGTTTTATCACCATCTTATTTTACGCGAATTTTATTCTTATTCGATTTCCCTTTTCTATCTTTTTCTATCTTTTGTTTCAATTTAATCCTCGCCATCTCGCATATATGTTCCCGCGTATTTCCCGCTAAACGATATTTAATAAGGTTAATTCATCTTATGAATTTTAACATACTAACGACAAACGTCGTCGTGACCATCGACAATACGGCCGTGTGTGCGCTGTTGACAACGTGTATTTTCCAGCCCAAGTTATTGTGCGTGTAACACTGTAGAAAAATAAAATTTTCATATTGAGCTATTTCTCATATTTACAGTAACACATTATAATATTATTAAATTTTCAAATCAATTCAATTATACCAAAAAATTTTAATATTAAGATAACATTATCTTCTTCATGCCAAAAGCATTTTCTTTTTCTTCATTAATTGTTATTCTTTTAATTCTTATTCTTAATTTTATTCTTCCTCGACAATATAACGAATATAAACTTTCATAAGTTATCGAATTGCACACTTTTCTTTCATTAATTTGATGTAACTATATTTTAATAAATACCTGATAATAAACTAAATCTGGAGTATCTTCGGTCACGGTCCAAACAAGTTTCGCCGGTTCACCCTTGTCACACTCGAGTCTAAGGGTTTCAAAGAAATTTTCAAAGGTCTCCATATCCGCACTCATATCCACCGTCTTGTGAACCCATTCGCAATAGCGGCCAGCCGCGGTTGGATAGGGATATCCATCCTCGTACTTTACTCCTGCGAACACTTTTTGCGCCTTTTGTTCATCCTCAGTTTTTTGACCAAATCCACCCTCTGGACTGGTGGTGATGTAAAATGGATGGTACCTAAACGAATAAAATACATTCTTGCATTCTATACAAACTAGACATTTCGCATTCCATGAATAATTTCAAAAGGAAACAATTTGTAAAATAATGGTTCAATGATATATTTGACTTTACGCGTTATATTCAATTATAATGAGAAATGAATTTAGTGGAAAATTGCAATCAAATAACGATAACAATAAACTATATGTATGAATTATACAAATCTTGTATTTATACATTGTACATTTTGTACAATGTATATGTGTTGTTATCAAATATGGAAGTGAAATTAAGAAAACAGAATATAAACTGGACTCTTGTTAGCTTGAAATTCCAACTTGCCTGGCTGGATTAGCTGGATCATTTCCACCCTCCACTATGAATATATATGTTTGTCCTCTTTCCACCGTGATTTCTGGGATGAGCAAATCGTTGATGTACCACGCGATTCCCCAAGCAGGTTGTCCTATATATTTAATTATTAAGATATTCAATCAACGATATAAAAATATATAAACAGAAGAAGATATAGAATAAGAAAGAAAGAAAAATTGTCAAATGTGTAGTGGATCAAGATCCTCGATCGAAGAACTTTTATAAGATTTATTAGGATATTAGGATAAGAGGGAAGTTACCTGTAATTCTCGTGTATCCCCTTTTCCCACCAGCAGGCCCGATCCTAGCACTGAACGTAGTTTCGTTGGTGATTACGGCTACGGGCCAGGGTTTGATGTCAGACATGTCCGGGAGATTGTAGAGGGAATTTGTACACTCGTGCACATTTCTCGACGTAAAATCAATACGGATGTCCTCGGTCGTCTTGTCGAAGCTTTGATGAGCATTGGCTTCTCCTCTCAAATTCAGAGGTCCTATTGCAGCGATCACGCTCGTTTCTGTATTTGGGATCATTTTGTCCTTCACTGGCTCGTTCGTGCTCATCGGTCTCATATAAGTAACTGAAACATTTTTCACGAATGTTAAAATATGAATGGTAAACTTTAATGTGCAATAATTTAATCTAAAATTTTGGATATCGTTATGAAAGATATTGGCGACCGATTGAGATGAAATTTGGTGTGATGTCATGGAGGTAAACAAGTAGATCTAGGAAAATTGGTGCAAAGACGGATCATAAATGGATTGGAGTTTTTGTAGAGACGTCTCACGTAAAAATTACTTTTAAAAATTATTATTTTTTCTCTTGTTGTTTATAATTAATTTATTTTAGTGCTTCATTTTTAAAAAAATTCTTGTTTAAAGTTAGAAATCAATGTATATTAAGCAGTTATAGATAAAGCAAAACAATTTTTCTTTTTAATTCATCATGTTACATAAATTTAATTTTATTTAATTGAAACAATAATTAAAAACTCGGATAATTTTAAAAATTAAATTTGATGCTTTTTCACTTACTTGGCTACTAAAAATCGACGTTACTTTTTCAATAAATCCCCAATAAATCATACGCAATATGATAAATGCTAAAAGCAGTTTATTACAAATAAATATCAAAAGTTTTTACCTGTCGTCACTCCGTTCTTTCGTTCTCCATGCACAAGAACGGCGTCGTTCTTCCCTCCAATCCTTTCGTCCGGACACACGCCCTTATTCCCATCACACTGCGCGTAATCCGACATATAATAGTCCTCGGCGATGAATTTATCGGTCCTGTTGTTGTAAGCGACCACCACCACATCGCCACCGATCATCTCTGACTTTCCCTCTCGGCCGGATAAACCGAACGCAACGTACTGGTCCTCCCTGATCCGGCCAGACACTCTGATCTGAATGTCGTCTCCTATCATCTCCCATTGGACTTGTACACGACCCTCCAACATTTCCTTGCAATTGGTCAGCTCGTGTTTGGACAGGGGCGGTGAGGGTGTACTGCTTGTCTGGAAAAAATATTACAAATTTTTGCCTTTCCCTTTTTCCTTCTTTTTTTTAATGCGGGAATCACGTTATAACTAATTAAAACTGAATGAATTGTTTCTGACACGTCGAAATCTGTTTGATAGACTCTACAGTTACTTACAGGATCGTACCACCAAGGCGGCTATCCCGATAAAAATACATTTCGTTAATGAAATGTCGTATCTAATTTGAGAAGTCATTTTTAACACTTTAACCCCTTTCCTGCCAACGACGAAATATCTCGTCGTAAGCGTCGTAAGATGCGCGTTGGACGAGATATCTCGCGTGCCTTTTCACTTTAGAACTCGGGATATCTCGTCTGTGGTAATAGATTTTTGGATAAAAGTCAATTTTAGAGAGAGAGAGAGAGAGAGATATCTCGTCCTTGGTAGCGAAAGGGTTAAGAGATGCATGAATACTACAAAATGGAATTTCGTTCGATCATGAACATCGGTTTTCAGTTACCGTAATTTTGGTCTGTCCAAGAGCAGGCGGAACATCGAGGTCCTTAGGTATCAGTACATGCCCGAAGTTGTGCTTGTATTGCACGCACCATACCGACAACCAGTCAATGTCGTGCACCGTCAAGTTGCCCGGCAAAACGATTTCGATGTCTTCCCCTTGATAGCCCTTCAATGGTGCCAAACTGTAGAGACAAAAATTTTTGCTCCATTCTCGTTAATTCTAATTCCAAAACGGTAATAGTAAAGGGTCTTACGCACCTTTTCCTCTCGTTTGGCACTTTGATACCAAACGTGGTAGGCTCTGACCCGTTCCCAACCCAGAAATACGCGTCCGGGCCGGCGCCATCGTAATGAAGATTCGGAATGTAAAAAGTTTTGCTATCTAGAATGGTGATGTTCCCGCTACGTAGACCGTGGGCTAGCCTCGAGAATTCTGGCAGCACCCTTGCCTTCGGCACTTTTAAATTTGCCGGGATGAAAACGTCACCGAAGTTCACCTACGATAAATTAAAAACACAAAGAATCCTTCAATCCTTTTTCAGGTAATTTGACTATTAAGGGAATTAAAATTAATCGAACAATGGCAAAGAATTTTCTTTCGTGGAAATTTATTTATTTTTTTTTTTTTTTTTAAGAAATTGAAATTTCTCAGAATTGGTGGTGGTAGGAATATGATGGGATACTATCAAGCTTTTGATTATATGTGAGTAAGATTTGTAATTAATGATTAAAATTTAAGTAAAATAAAGTCAAATAATAAATAATGTATTTTTTTTCATTTGAGAATCAAAAAATGTATAAATTAATAATCGTAGTTGCAAAATATTAGTGGGAATTTGAAGATATATATTATATTCTATTGTATTTTCAATAATATTATATAATATATAATCGATTATGAGAAAAGATCATAGAGTATAATATAAGATATTTGAAATTTACTAAATAATAAAGTAAATTTTAATTATTTATTCAAATAAAAAATGCCAAGAGAAAACTTGAACAAAGAAAAACTTGAAAAAATTAAAACTTATAATTGTAAAAATTAGAAAAAATTGAAATTGAAGATCCAATATTTATCATATTCATTATATTATTATGAGAATTAAAATTTATATTGATTATTATAAAACAAAATAAATTATGAAATAAAATTATGTTATTATAATTGATATTCTTATAAGCAATAATTAATTTTTTTATCAACAATTTAACGCAGTTTCATAATTTATTTTCTTCAAAAATTACATAAATTGCTTCATAATAAAAAAAATAAAAAATTCATAATTTCTTAAAGTTTGAAACACTTATATACACTATATATTATACATTTCATATGAAATTTTTTAAATTTTCTTTATTTTTTTATAATTATTCTAAAAAAATTCCTTAGATCAAAAAACAAAGAGAATATTTCTATCTTCTCCTCTATCATCTCTTTTCTTTCTCTCCTCTTTAATATTTAATCATTTTAACATAATTTTTTCCAAGTCTACGCGAGACAAAGTTTCACAGAAAAAGTGTTGAACAGATCAAACGTTCGATTTTCTCATCGAAAGCAAAAGATAGAGTTATATATATATATATACACACACACACACACACACACACACACACACATATATAAAGAGAGAGAGAAAGAGAGCAGTTTCCGGCATCGAACAGGAACCGTCTCATCAAGTTGTCTTTCAGAGGCCGCATATTTACACCCTGCCAGTCGAAAAAGTCGATCTATCATTCCTTACCCCCTGAAGTTGAAGCTGACGTACCAATAGGGGTTGGTTTGGGATCGTTTATATTCTAAGTTCCGTCAAACGTCTGAATAAGTGAGACGGGAATGAGTGTAGAAGTGGAATAACGATAGGAAGGAAAAGAGATGGGGAGCAGAAATGGGGATGTGAAGGGTGAGAAGGGGAGGCAAAAAAAAAAAAAAAAAAAAAA